TAAAGTATCTGTTAAGGGTACCATTTTGAATATTAGCGATAGAAATATTGCTATAAGACCAATTGATGTTGATAAAAAAACTGGTATTGATATAGTTATTTGGTTTCCTATAATGTTAAATTAGACAGCAACAATAATCATAATTCAAATATTGAAAGATCAAAATTATAAATTATCATTATCATCATCATTGTTACTATTATTATAATTCACAATTTAAGCAGTAAAGATTTTTAATTTTCTTTTTTGGAAGTATTATTCTTTATTGGTTTTATCGAAAAGTATAACTCAACACTACAAATGAATTCACTGGTCAAAATTGTAGAGGCAACAGTGTAACCCGAAACTATATAGATACTGCAGCAGCTGGAACAATTCTTACTATGATGCGGAACCTTTAAAGACCTTCTAAAATTTGTATTATCTCTAAAAGTATATATAGAACTCAAGAACTAGTTAAAATTTTAATAGGTCTCTCTCTAGCTTTAATGTAATGGAAAGATTTTTCAAAAAAAATATTTGTTGTTCCTTTATATGTATTTCACTATGGTGCGTGAAGTCTATTATTAAAACCAAAACGACAAGGAAATTCTTTTTTTTTTTGAAGTCATGTAATTTTTGAAATTTTCTTAATTACTTGGAATTTTGCAATGAGATTTATATCTATATAGTAATGGACGGCTTGTTATAAAAATCTTATATAATAATTATATGATTTCAAGTAATATTTGTTATATTGTTTGTTATAAAAAATTTATAACGGTCAAATACCCATATCTTTTACTGCATATAAAGCTGTTAATCCATTCTATAAGCATCCAGAAACCTACAAGACTTGAGAGCCAATTTTCTAAAACAGAATTAGCGATGTCAGCCGGCTAAGGGATTTAGCCGATTGATAAATGTATTGTTTCTTTTTTTTTTTGTTATATAATAAATTTATTTGATAAAAATTTACCCAAGTTCTCTCGTTCATGAGCCTCAACCTTATTATTATGCAATTACAGAGTTATCTTTTGAAGTATATACCAAAATGGACTTCAATTCTTTTAATTTAATTGTATGTCTTGCGTATTGTTTTTGGGGTTGGAGCCATTATTTCTTGGACTATTTAGAGGCCCTTAACCGGTTAATAACCGATTAATTATATAAATTTTTAAATAATATTAAAATCAAAAATTAAAACCAAAATCGTACAGATTATAATTTTAATAATGCCCCATGAATAGTAATAGTGGGTATATCCGTCGGATATTCGGATATTTGCCGATCATCCTTTCACAGAATTTTTGATATCCGAATATCCGTCAGTATCCGTCAGTATTAATATTAATATTAAATATACAGTCAAACTTCGTTTCAAGCATTACAACGAATTTTTGCTTCGCATATAAAATTTGTTGAAACGCGATTAATAAGTTTGTGTGTCCCCGTAGATTCGTTGAACCGAGGTTTGACTGTAGTCAGATAAAAAAATTATCAATATTTTATAGCAACAATAAAAGATAATTTCTACCTTATTTTACTTATAAAAACTATTCATGCAAAGAATTAGATTGAGCTTTGTCCTTTTAACTGTCAATGTGTTACCAGTCTCACTGGATAACCGTTTACTTGGTGTAGAAGTGGCAGATACACATAAATACTTTCTTGTAATTTTATCTAATGTGGGAAAAATTATTTTTTTGTTTCTCCACCAGATAAATGGATCCCATTCTAATTCGTCTAACTTGAAGTAGGATGATAACTAAATAATTAATTTAATTTTAATTTATTATACTAATACATACTTCATCTTTTGTTAATTTTTTTGTATAGTCGCGGATATTCATATATTAATATTAATATTTTAATATTCGATCAACCGTAATATTAATATGATGATGGTGGTGGTGGTGGTGGTGGTGATAATGATGATATTAATACTAATACCCGAATAATCACGGATATTAATATTCACGGATACCAATACTATCTAACGGATATAACTTTCTAATCATGAATATTAATATATTATTAAAAAATTTTAAATAATGGACAATTCTAATTGTAACAATTATTATTATATCTCGCTTTTACTTTCATTCTCTTGCATGTGGGACGTTTTTTCTTATTATTAATATTATTAATATTAACTTTATGTATGTCGATCCTTTCCGTTTATCACGAATTAAAAAATGAATCAAAAAGGAAATTACCTTGCCATTTTAGTAAGATATTCTGTGGGTACAACTTTTTATATTAATATCTTACATACCAATTCAATTATAATTATCCGAGGGGGTCCTAATTATTATATAAGAGCGATCTACATACATTAATTAAACCCTAGGATTATTTTGATGCATTTTTAGTTGAGGGGATAACGAATGACATTAATATATATTGAATGTAATGTACTGGTATATAAACTTTAATGATTTTAAAATTTCCTGACATAAACTATCCCCTTTAACAGTTTTTCAGGAAAACCATGTACAACATTGAATTCCATTGAATTGTTGTTTCTTTGGTCATATTAAACCGTAATTTCTTAATGTTAGATTTTATCTAGTGGGTAAAAACATAAATAAATCGTCAAACTGATTTACTGCAGTACAATATGTATGTAACTTATGCTTTGTTAATATCAGCGTCAAATACAAAAGGCTCGTTAATGAGATAATTTTCATCAATTAATGGTGATTCAGAATATAGTAGTGGTCCGGTTTATGGGGATTTAGGACATGGATGTAAAGATCGATTCCCCATTTCTTGCTTTTCTTTGTTGGTGCATCCTGCACTGAAGTTATATGGATATGGTTATTTCCGGTCGTAGCCTTATTTATTGCTTTGATTGTTGACAAAACATCCATCTGTGATAACAAAAAGTCAATTATTGGTAACAATGAATGTTTACGAATATTAATTATCAATCTATACCTGAAACTCCATTAAATGTCATGTACAACATATTATGCGGTTTCTATTAATTGTGTAATTATTCAATTAAAAAAATAAAAATAAATAAAATTCAAATAAAAACTAATTCCAAAATGTCTGATAAATAATGATGATGATACTAATAGTGTTAATATATATAATAAATTCAAAATATCATTATTAATCAAAATAAAACTGTACCATTATAGCTTTCTAACGAAAAGTCTCCCATATTGATAGAGGCTCTCAATGTAAAGCTATACTTACTTATTCAAAACTACGAGTTGTTGAGAAGATAGAAAACGTTATAAGCTTTTGTATGGATATAATTTTATGTTAATTGTTGTTGGCAAAAAAAAAAGGTATAAAATTGTATCAATTCACAAATAGAAAAGGAAATCGTCCGCATATGGTGTCGTAATTACAAAAAAGAAATGATTAAGTTTCAAATGCAGCAATTTGGCTGATAAACCCGCCAAAAAACAGCTTTGCGCGTTAAATATTGTTTTTTAAGGAAAGGAAGGAGTGAAAACTTGGCTAATCAATTAAATTAGGAAATATGTACTATTTATGGAAAGTACCTGACTAAAATCATTGCGCAGTAGGTGTTTTTATCAAGTATTATCTGCAGTCTTTCTCACGCTTCCCAAATAATGAATTAGGTTTATAGAAAAAATAATTCCTTTTCAAGAAGGGGGTTTTCATAAGAATATCTATTCCGAAATTGGAACTTACTGATTTTTTATTTGAAAAAAAATGAATTTCATCAATCAACAGCAACTTCCTATTATTTTACACCATTATGAAGGTAATCTACATGGGAAGAAGAAAAAAGTTTTTTTTGTAATAATAATAAATTAAAATTTAAAATTTAAAATTAAAGGTTCACCATATTCACAAAAAATTGTATGGGCTTTAACAATTAAACATTTAAAATGGATTTCAGTGAATGTACCAATAATTATGCCAAGGCCGTAAATAAATATAAATATAAATATTTTTAATAATCCATTCATTAACAAGCAATTATTTTAGATTGTTGCAACCTTTAACTCATGGATATCGACGTATACCAGTTCTTCAGATTGGATCAGATATATTTGTTGATACACTTTTAATTATAGAAGAATTGGAAAGAAGATAGGTAATGAATAAAACAAACAACTATTTGAAGAATAAAATTAATTTATTTGTAAAAATAATAAAAATTTAGGTATCCTGAACCATCATTATTTCCTAAAAGAATTAAATCAAATAAAAGTGATAAAGGACTTGGATATGCCATGGCAATGTGGACAGATGTATTTATTTATTTCAATTTATTTTCTCCAAGTTATTATGATAACTAATTTTGTTTTAATGTAATAGATATATTTTTTCCGAGCAAGTTCTACCACAATGCTAATTCCTGAAGATCCAAACGCATCAACAATTTTCAAATCTCAAGGATTTTTAAATGACCGATCTTTATTGATGAATAAGAAAATTGAACCCAATAAATTAAAATCACTTCGACCATTTATTATTGATACACTGAAATCAAATTATGAATGGATTGAATTACAATTATCAGATGATCGACAATGGTTTTTAGATACAAATACACCAAGTATTGGTGATATTCATGTTGCAATGAATATTTGGTTTTTAAATTTTACTAAAAATGCAAAAGAATTTAAAAATATTTCTGAATTGTATCCTAAAACTCATCAATGGTTTAATAGATTTATCAAATTTATTAAAGAAAATCAACAACATAAACCTTTAAAAATTTCTGGTGAGGAAGCACTGGAAATTGCTAAAAATTTTAAACCATCATCATATTATTATAATAATGGTAATAAGAAATTAGGCAATAAAAAAATTGGTGATAGAGTTATTATTTCACCTGATGATTATGGTAAAGTATCTGTTAAGGGTACCATTTTGAATATTAGCGATAGAAATATTGCTATAAGACCAATTGATGTTGATAAAACTGGCATTGATGTAGTTATTTGGTTTCCTATAGCTGGCTATAATGTTAAATTAGACAGCAACAATAATCATAATTCAAATATTGAAAAATCAAAATTATAACCATAATAATCATCATCATTGTTGTTATTATTATTATTCATAATTTATGTAACAAGTTTTATGTTTACAAGCAGTAAAGATTTTAATTTCTTTTTGGAAGTATTATTCTTTATTGGTTTTTACCAAAAAGTATAACTCAATACTACAAAAGCAATAGTAACCTAATTTAGGACATGGCAATGATTAAGCAGGACCAGTAAAAACCATAATAATAATTTCTTTTGTATAGGGAACAATATACAGATGAAAATGAACAGGCCATTCAAAGAGAAAGAGCCAAATAAAATTTTAATGAAATTCAAAACTCCCCAATATATTGTATCATATCATTAGGGAAAGGATCAGATTAACCTTTTCTGATGAAGATAATTGAATGAGTATACTATGGTACCATGGAGTAAATGAGTTTTGATTTTTTCCTAGAATTTTATTTTTTTTCCTAGACAACTTGGATGGATAAATAAAAGAATAAGATTAGAAATCTTTCTTCTATAACATAATCTATCCAGGTTACTTTTTTTATTTAGACGAAACTTGGATGGATTTTTACTTTGGGCATGTCCAAATCCATTTTATTCCTGGCATTTTGAATTATCTCATTGATATGATGAAAAGCAAACACTGGTTGAAAGTTCTAACTGAAATTTACCAATGAAAAACTTTTGATATGCCTTTTTAGTTCCCTAGACAAATTCTTGGATGGTATGTCTCGTCATTAATAGACTTGATTATATTAGGCAACTAATGTTTGCCAAGACAAATTATTGCTTCTATCCCTTCATTCTACACTTGAAATTATAATGCTGGTTGTTAATATACTTGGTTAGATCAGATAACTAATGTTTGCAGATTCAATTCATTGCTTGCTCTGTGGTACTACTTACAATTTCGGATCTGTAAACGCAGTCATTGGGTGTACCAATTAATATTAAGTGGTAGATTGCATAATAGGTTGTCACACAAGGAAATGCAAGTTTCCTGTTGATCTCTAGCAAAACTTAGATGTCTGAAATTTGGTCAAAATTAAACATCTTAGTGTTGGGAAAATTTTATGGTCTTTTTTTTTGCCAGAAATTTGACGCGATTCCATAAAAATAAGTTAATAATAAAAAAGAATAAAATTTTTTTGCTTGCGTAATAAATTAATAAATTAGGTAAATTGCGTCAAATTTTTTATTACGTAGATCCTCTAATTCTTATCTGATAGATTCATATACAGTATGACAATTTTTGCCAATCATTTTTTCAATAGTAAAAACTAACTCTTTGAAGAATAGGGAGATAAAGGCAGGCTCCGATGCTTAACTTTATTTATTATGTCTTTTTGTTGAATGGTAGATTGCGTTATTTGTTTAATAAACAATAAAATATTTCCTGGAAATCAACTTTTCAATTTTTAAACTTGTAACTTTTTTCTTTTTTATTGAAATTTTTCATTCATAGATCCTTGACATTTTAAACCTTGACTATTTTTTTAGATAACATATATAGATGCACCATATGACCTCTGTATGTGATGGATGTGCAGGGTCCTCTAATATTAAAAGATGATGAGAATCAAAGAATAAAAGTAGTAAAAGGCTTAACGCGAATAACCAATGCCAAGCCAGATCGTTAGCTGAAACAATGAGAAGAAAGCCAAAGGAGATGAAAGCTGAAAATAAAGAAACAAAGGATCAGACTGAAAAATAAAAAAATTTATTTTAATATCAAAGCGAGACCAGTGAAAAAGAAGGATAGTACGAACTTATTACAACACCAATTAATGTTCACTTAAATTTCTAATTCACATGATCAAAATCAGATTTTTTAATTTAATTAAATAAATAAGTTTAATAAATTTATAAAATTGAAAAAAACCTGATTTTTATTTTTGTGATTATACTTTACCCCACTTTTTTTCATGCTTTTTTTGTACTAGATGTTGATCAGGTCATACGCATCTTTTAATTTTTTTATTCTCACAAATATTTATTATTATTTATTATTTTATTTGTGAGAATAAATAATATAATAAAATAAATAAAACGTATTATGTGATGATGAAAGTGTACAGTTTAAAAGTTCTTGAGAAAACTTTATTGGTAATAGTAGTAGTAAACTATTCTAAAGTGATTGATGAAGAGAAAGTGACATGATGTTATGATGATGTTATGATGATGTGTTTTTATCATAATTAATTTAAAAGCCTTATTATTAAAGTTTTAAACAATCTGATGATTATAATAAAGCATTCGCATGTATGTGCATGTAAATATAGATTGAATGAATATATATGAATGAATGGACAGGGTCTATGATGTAAATCAGAACATAATAAAAAATAGAGGTGACACTATTTCCGCGTTCCCACATAAAAAAAAACAAATACACGAAATTGGTTAAACGTTAATATTTGCCAAAGCCTCAAAGAAAATTTTTTTTTTGTACGATATAATAAATGAAAAATTCTTTTTTTCTCGAAAATATTTATAGCAATAATAGTCATCATACATATTTAAATATGTGTGTATGTTTGTATGTGTGTGTATGTGTAAACGCACACGAAAGATATTTTATTTTAAATAATATATTTACCCCACATTTTTTTATAAATGAATTTCATATAACACAAATAAACATAAATAATAAATAACAAATATAAAACAACAATCACTGAATTGTTTTTCCTAAATACCATCACGACATCATTATCGACAAATAAATCAAAACATTTAATTCTTCTTCCCCGCAAAATTACATAACCTCCACATTTATCACTCAACAACAAATAATAAATAGTCATCTCGTTTCAATGGTTGTTAATAATAAAAAGAAACAAACAGTGTTTTGTTTGTATCAATGTCATCATACTTAGGGCAGTAACGAACGACACTTTAAAGAGAACAATACGTGTATAGTCTTATAGTCTTTAAGGTATTTACGCATTATTATTTTTATCGACCATTATATTATTATTATTATTATTATTATTATTATTATTATTATTATTATTATTATTATTATTACTGATTTTTTATGTGTGGATAAATCAAAATCTAGAAAATCAATTGATTTGATCTCCGTCCGCCATCATCACATCACTATCACGAAACTAAAATCTTCAGAAATTGTTGTCATATCTATGATGTCTTTTGCCCACAAACCACTTTCACTAATTGGTCTCCAAAGTAAATTAGTATAATGCTCTTGTACGTACAAGTCGATTGATATTGTTAATTATTATAATTATTAATGATATTTATCATATTAAGAGAAGAAAATATGATGTCGAAGATTTTTTACCTTACCTCTGATTTCTATTTACCCAAAAAAAGAATGTTCTTGAAGATCTTTTTAGTAATACAAATTTTAGATAAAAAAGATTCATTCATATCATCTAATAAATCATTTACTTGAATAATACAAGATCTTTGGGAATAGTTATCATAAATTATCATAATGTGATTGTTAAAAAAATATGCAAGTAAAAAAAAAAGATAAAAAAAGCCAATTGTTAAAATTTTTTTTTGTTATTATTACAAATGAATTTGTGGAATGACAAAAGCAATAAAGTTCAGGGCATTTTATTTATATTACACTTAAATTGAAACTAGAATCTTCTTACACTAAATATTTGTGTGTAAAAAAATAAGGTCTAGAAGGAATTAATACTACCAAGAATATAATTGGGGTTTAAAATTCAGTCACTTTAGAACTGAAAAAAATATATGCCACTTGAAATCATATCATTATCAACGTTATTAACATATAAATGCACCCCAAAAAACCATGTGGAAAATAAGCATAACGTTCTTTTTTTTTTTATAATGATACAATCTCATTTATACATTTAACTAAATTTAGAACTTAAAATAAATACCATTTCAATAATTGGTTAGGAAAAAAAAGAACAAGTTTCATATTATATTTATATATTAAGTGAAACCTTCCATTCAAGGACACTAAATAAACCGATATAATAACTCTTGCTATTCCTTAAATGAAATATTATTTATTTCTTTGTTAATGTTGTGGTTTGTATAGACAAAGTTTGTGATTGTTGTTGTTTGTTCGTTGTACGTAACACATAGTCAGTTCTCTTAGTTCTTTTTTCAGTCAATTTAATCACTAACTGTAATACTGCAATACTCAGGCAACTCTGCATCACCCCACCTTGTTCAAATGGATTGCCAAGAAGGACAATATTATTTATTGTTTATTTAAAAAAAAAATCTATTATTATTTTTTATATTTATTTATATTGTGTAATATATATTAATTAGCGACGTTTTTATATAAATATCTTGCGTTTCCCATTAAAAATTTAATTTTTTTTTTCCCAACCACTCGAAATATTATTTAATAAATACAAAAAAAAAAAAAATTTAATTTCGAAGTGTTTTTTAGAAAAAAAATTAAATTAAAAACTAAATTTAATTTAGAAAATTAAATTTAATAAAAACATAATAATTATAATATATACTACGAATAACAATAACAATAACAATAATAATAATAAAAAATAATAATAAAATAATAAAAATGATGATAAATAACAAACCAACTCTTATGGATGTTCTTAAAAATGAAACTTCATATCCTTATTCATTGGATGACTTTGCTACATTTCTTGACCAAACTTATTGTTTAGAAAATTTGGAATTCTGGTTAGCAGTTCAACGATACAAATTTTATGCCGATAGCTTTTACAATTCTTCAAATAACAGTTCATCAGAATTATTCGATTATGATATACCTTCTTCCTTACCTTTAACATCAGACGCAACAATCAATAATTATTTAGAAAGTGTCGTGGCTTTACGTGGTGATGCTCCAGCACATCTCAATTTCTTAAAACAAAAACTTCATGAGCTCATAACAACCTACATCCTCCCTAACTCATCAAAAGAAATTAATATTATTGCTTCTTCACGAGAAGATTTACTCACCAATGTGTTCCAATATAACAACTATCATCCATCCATACTCGAAACCATTAGCCATCAAGTTTATGAGTTGATGCAAGGTTCAAGTTTCTCACAATTTTTGATTGAGGCTGGTAATGTGGAATTAAGAATGTCAAGCGAAGAAAGCCAAGATGATAGTGATAATTCTTCACCAATAATATCTCGTCGTAAAAGTATTATATCAAAATCAATTAAAAAACAAAAATTTGGTGGTTTGAAATTAAAAGAAAAATATAAAAAATTAATTTCTACCACTTCAAAAAAATATTAATTATCTTTACATTTTTTTTTTTTACATCTTTATTTTATTTGCATTTTTCAATTTGTAATATACGCATTTTTTTTTCTTATATATAGACATTATTAATATTTATAATTAATAATAATCGTAAATAATTTTTTCTTTTTGTACATTTTTTTTTTTTTAAAAAAAAATAGAATTTTATATAAAAATAGAATTTTTAACAAATAATTAATATTAAAACAAAGCTTCCCTTTTCTCCTCACTAATAATAATCAAGTTTTTCCTAAATATCATAAAACACTCATGCATTAATAATAATGAATATATATATATTCATTATTATAATCAACAATAAAAAAGATAATTTTTTTTATAATTCAGTGTCTCTGTTTTCTGGTGTAACATAAATTACTATATAAAAAATTTGTGTGATCCTTTACCATTTGCGTTGTTTGTTTTCTTTTATTTCTTTTCCAAAATAAAATTTTCCCGATGGATGGCGTCTTTCTAAAAAAGTAAAATCATCAAAGTATACAAAAAACGACTTTCTTCAAAGAAAGAAACAAATCTAGATTGGGATTCAATGAAAGAACACTTTTTATTATAATATATTATGAATAACTGGTTATTATTAATATACATACATATACAGAATATAAAAAAAACAAATATTATTATAAATAATATGTTTACCATTCATTTATTTTTTACTAATTCAATAAATTTGTTTCAAAAGATCAAAAATTAGATAACTAAAAATTTGGAATAAAGTCTTACATGTATGCAAATATTTTTTGTTTGAATTGCATTTTTGTTCTTAGTATATTCTCCTCCGTTTCCTCTAATTCACCATTATTCAGTCGAATTTTCTTTTTCTAGTGAAATATTCTTTTGCGTGTTAACTTGCATATTCAATGATTGATTTGTAAATTATAATTGTTATATATATATATACACGTTAAAAAATACATCTCAGGTTAAACAAGTTTTTGTGCGCAGTCACACGACTTTTTTCTATTCTAAAACGAATATCCACTATGCTACTTGAAAACAATAGTGTTATTAAACGATTAAAGGAACTCTTTATTCCTGGAAGCGATAAAAATAAAGATACTGATATTGGTGACACTAATAATAGTAGTGATGATGGTGATAATATTAAGGATGATGAAATTGACTGGGATTATTATAAAAGAATATACAACGTTGCATATAAAAAATATATAGAATCAAACCCAGTAGCGACTCAAGAAGACAAAGAAGACGAAGATGCAAAGAAAATGAATAAAATTGTGGGCGAACGATGGGAGAGAATTAAGAATCTTACTCACCGATCAAATAAAAGATCATCACCATCCAGTTCTAATAACAATGGTGCAGTCGATGATGAGAAAAAGGATGAAAACTCACAATCACCACCATTAAAGAAATTTAAAACAGATTTAATCCCATCTGCTAGCTGGTTCGCTTATACATCACCACAGGTAAATAAAAAATATGATTTTCAAGGATATTCTTTCTGAGGATGATTCTCTTGCTGATTATTTCTTTTTTCCCACCTCTCTCATCTTTTTCTAAGCCCAACGATCACAGTGATAATAATAATGTTATTATTAACAATAGCAGTAGCAGCTACAAACCTAAAGTCTTTAGAATTAATGGTAAATACGTTTTAAAGGATAGAGCTTATTATAATAAATTAAAGCAAAAAAGGAAGGAAATGAAACATCACCAAAAAACAATTAATTTCATAAACAGCCATCTTCCAGAAGCTTATTGGATTAAATCTGATGATAATAATAATAATAATCAAATAAATATATTATAGTGTTTTAAATTTTTTATCCATAAATAAAATTAATATAATAAAAATGATGGCGTAGTTGATTTGAAATTTAGGGTGGATGGTTTTTGTCATAAATTTTTATCCCCAAAAAAAATAATTTAATTTAAAATCGATATAATTGATAATGGGAAAGAAGAAAGGTGGCGGTGGTGGTGAACCATCATCACGTCAAATACAACATCGTGAACTTTATCAACGTATGAATTTTCTATATCAGGCAGCAACACTTATGACCACTACATCAACTTCCAATAATTCTTCAATAGTTTCAAATGATAATAATAAATTGGCATCGGTTGGTAGATTTTATATTAATACAATGAAAACTATTGGTAAAAAACAAGTTATAAGAATGGATCCATCCGTAAAAAGAACACTATGTAAAAAGTGTGAAACCTTACTTTTGCCAAGCATCACTTCACATGTAAGAATTAAATGTAAGTGACATTTTAAATTTTTTTTTGGGAGTGAGAGAATATATTCTTTAGATTAATATTTAAAGCAATCTTTTAAATAAGCTTGTCCAGAACCAGGACTACAGATAACATGTAAATATTGTAATGCCAAGAAAAAATTCCCAGCACATAAAGACCTCAAATTAGATTCAGAAAAGCCTGAAAATATTATTGAAACAGCAACTAAGAAGGACAATGAATAAAGGTATTTATGAAGCAATAAAACCTCCTGTAATAATGGAAAATAATTATATTTGTTTATTTATATATTTATATTATTTAGATACAAATTTTTAAAAAAAATTTTAAAATCAGTCAACTTTTAAATTCTATACTTCATTCCAAGAAATAATTGCCATCATCATAACACCAATAAACATTGTAGAAAATTCTTTTAAAGATTGCTTAAGATCTTTTGTAAAATTTCCAGAAACATTTAATAATTCAGGTATAACACCAACAGTAGCAATATATAGAAATCCACCTGCAGTAAAAGGTATAACCAAATCACCTATTAATACACCTGTGCCAAAAATACCAAAACTATTATTATCATAATCAAGATTGTTGCTTTGATGATGTTCTTGCTGCTGTTTACTATATTCTTCTATTATTATTCCAGTTAATGTACCAAGAAATGCACCAATTGCAGTGATAAATTGGGAAAACATTGCACGTTTTTTGGTGAAACCACTTTGTATTAATATTGCATAATCACCTATTTCATGTGGTATTTCATGGAAAAATACAGCAACTGTTGTAGTAGCTCCAATGCTTGGTGATGTATAAAATGACGCTGCCATTGCAAGTCCATCAGTAAAGTTGTGAGTTGCATCTGCTATAAGATTTAGATAAGCTGATAATTTAATGCTTGTAGATTTGTTTTTCGCAACAATATCATCATTACTATTATTATCATTGACTACTTTTTCTAATTTATTTACATTTCTTTGACGTAAAGAAATTTCATCTTGATTATTATTATCAAATGCTGTAGTTGAAGAAGATATTTTTTCATCCGGACCTGAGTTTTTCTCTTCTTTATGATTATGATGATGATGGTGATGATGGTTCCCTGAATTACTTTCCGAGTTATCATCACCACCATTTAACACACGCATTGATTTGTCGATTATAAAAAATGCAACAAACCCAATGAATATTGCTAAACCAATTATGATATTTTTTTGTTCATCAACTTTAACAAAATGTACTTGATCATCATTATCTTCACCCAAGAATGAATGAGGAATTAAATGTAAAAATACATCGCCAAGCAATCCACCAACTGCAAAACTTACAAGCGAATTCAATGAAGATGTGTCAATATCAGGTGGAACAAAATATAATATGAAATTTGGAACTGACGAAATATAAAATGTTCCCAACAAAGAATTAACAAGTGGACCGCCAGGAAATAAGGAATTAAAGATTTGTTTTGTCAAATTACTTTTCTCATGGTCATGTTTTTCTTTTTTTTGTTTATTTAATCGTTGAATATATGGACAACTATTTTGATCTAGTTTTGAATTATGATTCTTATCAACATTTGAATTTTCTTCTGTTTTTGTGTATGTAAAAAAATAAAATGAAATAAAAATAATTAATAAAAAATATTTTGTGTATTTCATCTTTATCGCATTCAACTATTATTTTGAAAAAAAAAATTTATATGTACAATGTTCGAAATTCAATCGGTGGAATCGGCGCGCTAACCAAATCTGAAAATCTTATGCAGATATTTTCTAAAATTAGACTAGATTTATGATAAGGCGCAGTTGAATTTAGAACACACCATCAAGAAAACAACATCAACATCAACAACTAATGGGCAATAATAATTCTATTTTTCATTGTGAAAATAAATTCTAAATCGTAATCCATAAATTAAATAAATTTTTTTGAATGGTGAGATATCAATTTTATTTGGTTCTTTTGATTCTTGGACGTGTATGATTTTTAGGCCAATCAAAATTTAATTTTTACGTGTATCTTGGTGACAATTCTTAACCAATCAAATATGATCGAGTAACACGATTTTCCAGATATTTTTCAAAAAAAAAAATAATAACTCGCTTTTCTTTACACTCTTCCCTTTAAAAAAGAGATGGATTTACCTAGGGAAAAAAACATCAACAAGAATCTAAAATCAAAATCAAAATCAAAACGAAGTAAAGATGATGACGAAGATGATTTTATATCTGAAGACGATAACAAAAAAAAGACTGTTAAAAAGATAAAAAAAGATAATAATGACAAAAATGACGCGAAAAAAAACTTAAAATCTGGAAAACCTGAACAAAAGAAACTCACGTAAATATATTTACATTTCTCTTGATGGTTACACATAAAACATCCAAATTAACATATATTCTTTTATTTTTTAAATCAGATTTTTTAAAGGATTCTTAAATAGACCTAGTCCTTCTGCGCTTGGATCGAAAGAATTACCCAAAGGGGAAAAAAATTGTCTTCAAGTATTATTTTATTTACATTTATTTAAAAGTGCCCCTTTCTTTTAACGAAATAAATAATATCATGATCGTCATCAAAATTTTATTTTTATTACTTGAAGGATAAAACGTTTGCCTTTACTGGGGAATTAACATCGATTACTAAGGAAAAAGCACAAGATCTTGTGAAACAACATGGAGGGTAATAAATCAAGTGAAAATATTATATATATATATATGTACATGTTATTTTAGATGTGATTTTTAATGAAAATAAATTATAACTTAGAAGAGTTACAACTTCAATGAATAATACAACTAGTTTTGTCGTCCTTGGAGATGATCCTGGACCAAAGAAATTGAATAAGATTGAAGAACTCAACATCCCAACATTGGATGAAGATGGACTTTTCAACCTAATCAAGGAATCACGTGGAAATAGTGAACCAAGATATGCTGAAAGTCCTACTAACATCACTACTACTAGTAATATCATTAATGGTAGTAGTAATAGAAAAGGCAAAGCAATTGCAAGTTTTGTTCGAGAGCCCATCAGACAATCAGCTCCACCTGAAATAATGTATGTAATAAATCAATAGATATATATTTATTATTTGTTTTTAATGTTAATCTTAACCATTGCGCTCTCTGTTACAACAAACATATATCTTAGTGATCCAAAACACCTAATATGGGTAGACAGGTATCGGCCTAATTCGCTTAAAGAATTATGTGGAAATAAAACTTCTATAGGAGCTTTGAAAACGTGGTTGCATGACTGGTATTTTAACAAAAAAATTTGGATTACTCATTTTTGATCTTTTATAATTTAATTTATGTAAAATGAAATTCAAAAATGACAGGGAAACAAACTTCAAAACAGGCTTTAAATGTAAAGCTAATGGTAAATATCCTGCTGTGTTAATATCTGGTCCACCAGGAATCGGAAAGGTGTTTATTTTTAAAGAGTAATCTTTTTTCCTTTTCGATTTGTGTTGTGAATTATTGATTTATATAATAAATTCGTAAACAAATAGACAACTGCCGCTCATCTTGTTGGTAAAGATGAAGGCTATGATATTAAAGAATTCAATGCTAGTGACGTTCGTAATAAAAAGACTCTGGACGTAAGGATAGGTTTTTTTTATTTATTATCAATATCATATCATATTATCATGTCATCATCATTTTTGGTATTAATGATTTATAAATTATAAAATTCTAGTTGGCTATCAAGATTGCCACCGGCAACATGTCTATTACCAGTTTTTATAATTCAAATGCTACAAATGTTGCTGCCGTAACTGCTAGCTCGTTATCAAAAGATAAAGAGAAATCTGAACCATCACATACTGATCGAACATTAATAATCATGGATGAAGTTGATGGAATGTCAACTGGTGATAGGGGTGGCACTCAAGAGTTAATTCAAATAATCAAAAAATCAAAAGTATATTATTATTATTACATAAATAAATTAAATAAATTATTAATACTAATTTCTATATTTTATGTCCATAATCATTTTCATTGAAGGTACCAATAATCTGTATTTGTAATGATAATAAATCACAAAAAATGAAATCTTTTACTAATTTATGCCAGGAAATTAAATTTCAAAGGTAAATAATTAATTCGATCATCTTAATTTGGAAGATTAATGTATTTATATGTAATATTTAAAACAGGCCACGTGTTGAGCACATACGATCAAGAATTTTATCAATCGCTTTCAAGTAATTAAATCTTTTTTTTGAAATGACGTTGAAAGTCATATTTTGCTTTTACAATAACTCGTGCCACTCAAATCATTTTTTTTTTTTGGTTTGCCTATGTTTAGAGAGAACTTGAAAATAAGTGGTAATGTAGTTGATGCAATTATCAAAGGAACAAACACCGATATACGTCAAGTCATGAATTTATTATCATGTTGGAAGCTTTCAGAAAATAGTATCGATTTTGATCAAGGAAAACAATTGTATGGATTGAATTGGTTCATATTTATTATTGTCTATATATTTTTATTATTTTAATAAACCTTTATTTTACGTTATAGAATAAAGAACTCGGAAAAGGATATAGTCTTGAATGTTTGGGATGCATCAGCAAAATTATTTAATCCGATCACCTGGTTGCCTAACAACAATATCTCATTAAACGAGAAGCTGGGTCTTTATTTCCACGATCCGGATTTGGCCCCCTTGATGATACAGGTTTTTTTTTTATAAAAGTTTATTTATGAGATAAATTAATAGGCTGAATTTTTTATTTTAATATATATGCAGGAAAATTATATTACCAAGCCTTGCGAAGTTGCTAGTAAAGAATTCGTTTATAAAAATATGAATAGAAATGTTGACCCAAAACTTATCAAAGAACTTGCAGTGATAGGTTGTTTAAGCAAGGCCGCTGACTTCATATCTAAAGGAGATTTAATTAGTGGAATGATACACGGGTAAAATACATAGAATCATTCTTTTTTTTCAATTAAACATTAAATTATTTGTTTATTTATTTATTTGTCTGTCTGTCTGCTTGTTAGATCTCAACAACAATGGTCTTTAATGCCTTTTCATGGTATGGTATCGACTGTAATACCTAGTTATTATTCTTGTGGTAGAGGCCAATATCATTTCCCTAGGTAATTTATTTTTGGAAATATGTAAATTGGGGTCTTTAACAAAAATATTTATTGAAAAATCAATGATGATGACTTTGGTTTTTTCATTTGTTTTTAGTTGGTTGGGACAAAATAGCAAAGCAATGAGAAATAAAAGAGCATTGAGTAAAATTCAAAGCAAGTTAAGATTAAAATGTAACGCTAATAAAGATGAGATTTTAATGGACTATATTCCTGCCTTGCTTACAAAACTATACCATCCGTTAATTGGTGATAACGTGGTATTTACTATTTATTAATTTTTTTATTCTATGGCATACATTTAGTAATAAAGATTTATTGATATATATATTTATTTATTCCTTCATTTGTATTGGTTTAGAACATGACGAATATTCAAAAGGTGATTGATTGTTTAGATGAATATGGTTTAACAAAAGAAGATTGGGAAACCATTATTGAATTGGGTATGGGAAGCAAATTTGAAGCCGCAATGAAAAAAATTAATTCGAAAACTAAAACCAATCTTACAAAAAGGTTTGTATTGCATTATTTTATTAAATGAATATTTTTAATAAGTATATGACACAGTATGACTAATAAAAACCTTTTTATTAAAAAAAAAAGGTACAATGTTACTCATCAACCTATGATTTCTGTAAAAAAAGGAAAACATGGTTCAAAAGCAACTATATTGTCACATATTATTATTGATAAAGAAGATGAAGAGATTGATGGTGATGAATTTAACGGTAATATTGAGGATGAAGAAGAAACATTAGTTGATTTTTAAAAATTTATAGATGATAATTTACCCTCAAATTTTAGAATAATTTTCTATATATTCATTAAAAACAAATAGTTAAATACTAAATATTTTCAAAATAATGTGAAATTGGCTACAATACAGATTTGTTTGAACTGACCATTATTTTTTTTATGAAATATGATTCTTTTGACTTTATCAAAAAATATTTTGCAGATCAGTTGAATGATCGGCAAAGTTAGTCTCTCTCGGATGATAAAGAATTTATTATTGATGTTTTAATATTTATGACTCTGCCTAAAATCTACGACACCTTCATCATCCTACCAAATGGCTCCACGTAGTGTTGTCAGCTTTGCTTTGTGTCTTTGTCTCTTACCCACCCATCATAGCAACAGCACACAGATAAATTTAGCTCATTCAAAATATTAGCGTTGAAGGATTAATAATCGAAGGAAAGGAAGTAATAATATTTAAACATAAAATATCAAAACTACTCATTGAAATATTATTTTACTTCTAAGATGACAACAACAACAAGGCACGGTATTAGCTTTGAAAACTTTTCATCAAAAGACGCGTTTTGTGGTTGGCCAACAACTTTATTAAATAATTGAAAGAATATTTTGCTTACAAAAATCGAACTTAAATCATTGATAGTAATTGACACTAATATTAGGACATGGTTGATAAGGCAAATAAAAAAAAATTGTTTCCTTTTTTTTCCTTCGTTTAAATTTTATGTTATAATATGATTAAAAATCCGATCTTTTACCCTTATTAAATTATATATTGTTTTGGCATATAAACCTGTGCACGCCCTTTTCAAAAATGGTTTCATGGCACATATTTTAAGAATCAATCAATATTAAAATCAAAATTACAACATTCTTCCTCCTGCCTTTTCTGTTCTCGCATTCTGAAATAACTGAAAAATTTAATATATGATTAAATTTTTTAATACAATAATTGCGTCTTCGCTCGTTACCGACCACCCAAAAATTGGTTTGAGAAAATAAAATCCTAAACATAAACGAACCTAAATACATACTTCTACCAAAATATATTTCTATCATAAATTATGGTACTCTATTAATAAATCCTAGATCCTGATATTTTTTTAATATTTTATCCAGTTGTTCTATTTCTGGTGTATAAATTGGTGGTAATTTATATTCCAGCGGTTTAGGTCCTTTCCAATTTTTCATTAAAACATCCAAAGAATTGACAAGATCAACATTATCAGAGATGGAAATCCTTTGTCCTAAATCAATACAACTTAAATTTTTTGGTAATGTTTGATTCAATATTTGGAATATATTGTTAACATCTATTCGAATTTTAGGAAATGCTGGAAGTGCAATATGTTCCAATTTTATACAACTCTTTAATAATTCCATTAATTGTTGATCAAATTCATTTTTATATACTATTGATATGTATTTTAAACCTTTGCAATTTTCCCCAATTGAATGAAAAAGATTTGCTAGATTCAATTCATCATTACCCCTAATTGCCAAGTGTTTAAGATTTTTTCCATTGAATTTAATAATTTTTACCAATTCTATTAGACATAGTCCCCTGAAAAAAGTCAAATCTACAGTTTCTAAATTTGGAAATAAAACAGATTTTAAAATTTTAAAATCTTTTTTATAACTATAATGGAGGGCTAGCTTGTTTAAATTTCGAAATGTTGAAATCAAAGAACTTAAATTATTTTTTTTGTCACTTTTATAACAAGTTATTGAATTAGAATGCTTTGAAATTGCATGTAATAATTTAGCTGATAAAATTATATAGTTGCTTGATTGAATGGTTAATTCTTTGATTTGATTTTGCGCTTCAATTAGTTGAGCTATACTGTCATTAACAATTGTAGCACCATCATCCAAATTATCATAAAAATTATTTATTATTAAAGATTGGATTGTTTTACAATTCTTTGCTAATTTTAAAAAAAATTTACGGTTATCAGAAAAATCACATTCTAATTTACTAAGATCTCTAAAACAAATATCAAATCTGCGATGATTAATCAACCATCCATTACATTCTAATTCAAAAGTAGAACATACATTGATAGCATTTGAATAATCTAAAACAAATTCTATTAATCTTCTGTTTAACAAATAAATTTTCCCATATCCATATAGCAGAGTTTCATCTTCAGTAGACGGGATTTCTAGTATGGTAACAAACTTTGCATAATTGTACAATGTTGGTCTGTCCAATAGTTTAAAAGTCAATTCAATATTATTTCTTGATAAAAAGTCCCTGTCTTCTAATAACAAACAATTGATTAATATTTTGATGCTGCCATCAGAATGGAATGGATCTCTCCATAATGTTGGAATATTGATGTTGCACCATTGTCTATTAACTAGAATGCATGAGTATAAAGTTTTATAATCTTTAATATATTTGGATATTTGTATTAAAACCTCTGTCGGTAAACTTTTTACGTGCATTTTTTTTTTATTTTTTTATTTTTTTATGTAGACTTGAATAAGTTACACAAAGGAAGATTCCGGCTAAAGCTTATTATTATGGAATGCATAAAAGTTACACGTTTGGACAAATTAATAAAATTAGTTACGATAAAATCTTTATATATTTTTTTTAAGGTTAACAATTTGACAATTTTAATTAAAATTTTTTTAAAAAAAATATCAATCAATCAATATATATATTTATATATATTCAAAAATCAAATTAAATCCATATAACATATACACTTTCTTTTTTTTCTGGGATTTTTTTATAAATGGACCAGCCAGTTACAAGTTGGGATGTCAATAAAGTGAATTATTGGCTTTCTTCACTTGGATATTCTGCATATGAATCACAAATAAAAGGTATTTAATAGAGAAGGCTTTTATGATTATTGGTTTTAATATTATATATATCAATGTTTTGAACAATTAAAAAAATGTGAATTTTTCTTTTTTTTATTCAATCTATAACAAATTTCAATTGTGTTTATAGAACAAGATATAAGCGGAGAAATATTAGTTCATTTAGATCACGAGGCACTCAAGGATCTTGGTGTTCGTTCAGTTGGTCAACGAGTTACAATACTTAAAGCAATATACAATCTAAAAATACAACATAATATCCCTGTAGAAACAGGAGAATATGTTCCACCATGTATGTAAGAATAATTGAAAAAGAATGAATTATTATCAGATTTATTGTTATCATCATCATCATCAATTGGTTAACAATTTGAATTTGAATTTGAATTTGAATTTTGAATTGAATTGAAGAAATAATAATCTAATTCATTATTATTATTTTTATTTTTTTACAAAAAATTCAATAATAATAACAATAGCCGTAGAATTTGAAAACGTATGTTTAATATAATTGATTAAATTATTATCTTTCTTAATTTATATCTCATTAAAATTAAAATTAATTGTTAATTCAAATTCAAAATTCTAATATTAGGAAATATATAATATGAATGGTGTTCCGGATATTAGAAAAATAGAAAAATCAATTCATGAAAAAGGTTGATCTCAATTTCACATATTAAATATTTATAATTTATAAATTTTTTTTTAAATAATTGTGATTATAATAATTATTATACAGATGCAAAAATTAATCAATTATCAAAAGAATTACAAAGGTTATCAACAGATGTTTCAAAATTAAGAGAAGAGTTGACACCTATTTGGAAAATGGCAAAAGAAAATAAGGTTCATTATTGTTATTATTATTATTATTATATTATTTATAACCTATCTATAAATTGTAGACGATGATCAATTGAACTTGCTACCGTTACCATTATTGTTACCATTACTAATTACTATTATTATAATTATTTATTTATTTAATTAAAAATATTCATCCAATTATTATTATTTTTCTTTTAGCCATTACCAGAACCAGAATCAAATAGTAATAATTCTGGTAAAAAATCAACACAAAAAAACAATCTTCAAGTTACAGTTCCTGACATTAATGTTACAAATTGTTCAAAATCTCCATCTCATACCAACTCTCCTTTTGATGCTTTAAGTGCCCCTTCTTCACCTCGATCACCTCAAGAAGGTCGAAATCGTCTCCATGATTTAGATGTATGTATATATTTACATATTATATATAAATAATAAAAACAACAACAATAACAATCAATTTCTTCTTTAAATAATAGCCAAGGACACACATTCATCTATCGTCTAGTAATAATAATAACGAGTCACCACACTTGAATGCTAATGTTGGATTAAATACTGGTAGATTTAGAGTGTCACTTGAAGATCCATGTTATAAAGTATTACCATCAGCTCTTAAAAAATATAAAGTACATGATGATTGGAGAAAATACGCTTTATTTATTTGTTTTGGAAGTCAAGGTAATGTAAATATATGAATAAATAATAAATAATATATTTATTCGCACACACATGTACACAGGGAAATATTTATATTTCATATCAAAAAAATTAACAGATAATCCGGTAGAACGTTGTCTAAGTTATGATGAGAAACCATTACTTTTATTTCAAAAATTAAAAGAAGCAAATCAAAATCCAGTTTTCATGTTAAAAAATATTAAAGAAATTAAATCGCCAGTTGCAACTGCTGAAGAAATACTTAATTCCTTGAAAGCTAATAAATCTAAAAGACGTACCACACAATTCCTAAATAAAGAGTTGCCTCCTCCCCCTCCACCAGCTGAAACTTATCCATTAAACAACAGCAATAATCATAGTAATCATAGTAATAGTAATAGTCATAATAGTAGTAATAATAATAATAATTCAAAAAATGAAACACCATCATCATCGTCATCAAGTAATACATATGAATATCTAAATAATAACAATAGCGGTAACGAAGAAGATCAAGATGAAGAAATGATAGTTGAGGGCGATTGTACAGCTGTTGCGATATACCCGTATGTGCCGGAACTTGATGATGAGCTTAATGTAGTCGTTGGCGATATTTTTAAAATCAGAAGCAAGTCAGGCGGTTGGTGTTATTGTGAAAAAAATGGTCAGTATGGTTGGGTACCAGCAAATTTCTTGCTTGAAACAAATGTCAATGGTGGTGATATTATGGATGATGATAATCCATATGTTGGTAGAGGTATAGCATTGATAGACTATCAACGAAATACGGATGATGAATTGAGTATGAATAAAGATGATACATTACGTATTTATAAAAAACAAGATTATTGGTATTATTGTGAGTTGAATGATGATCGTGGTTGGGTCCCAAGTTGGTACGTCAAGATTGAAAAAGATCTTATCGATTATGAACACGAGGTAATCTGAACCAAAAAAAAATATATATATATATATATCATCATTTAACGACGTACTGTACAATTGAACGATTGAATTATTGTATGGATGATTGAAATTTTACTTAATATCTAATTATTTAATATTATTATATCATGACCATTAATTAAATTAAATTAATCAAATATATTTTTCATATATAGAATTCCTTTTTTTTTTATAATTAATTAATTATTTAATATATTTATAGATTATCATCATCATCATCATCATCATCATCATCATCATAATCATTACATTATTATTTATTATTGTGTACATACATATATTAAAAAAAAAAACAATTTTGGAACTTATTTACTTATTAATATTATAAATTTCATATTTTTATTATTACTTTTTCTTTGTATAATATTTTTTGTTTTTTAATTAATTGACTTATTTATAAATAGGCTAATCATATATACAAAGTTAAATAATAATAATAATGCGAGATTTTGATAATTTAATAAATGAATTTTTTTAATTTATTTTGTTAATATTATTTATTATATGGGCAAAGTTATCTATCACTATTAATGCGCTGAGAAATCACCATCTTCGCCGGCTTACTACGTGGCAGACGTTCCTGATCAACCGGGAGTTGGATAGCACCAGGCATAGTTTCGAGGACGTAGTTCAATTGATCATCGCTATATTCCTTTCCATAATCTACTACCTTCTGGTTGTGTACCGTCACCCACTCGTTTTCATGTCCTGTAAACCCACCTCTATCGAATGTGTTGTAGAAAAATATGAAGTTAAACCCGATTTCGTCATCAAATTCGAACTCAACGTCTGAAGGCATGCCTTCTGAGATATTCTGGCAATGGAGGAGGGCCACCTGAAATTCTTTCCCACGCGATCTACAAATAGGTTAAACAAACATCAAAATTCTACTACATGTATTGCCACTATGCCTTTCATGTGCTTAAAGAAAAATTTGAACTGTACCGAGAAAACTTTGTGCCTGACCAGATTGTGCTCAAATTTGTGGAGGCTCTGAAGCGTTTCGGGTGGATTTTGTTCCTTCATTATTTTAAATAAAATAAAAAGTCTAACAAGGGAATACTCAATATTAATATCTATATATGGTTTTCGTAAATACATATTCATTCCATTCATTAAAGAATATAAATATGCCCAGCAAGCAGAGAAGTTGCACCAATTATACCAATTATAAAAAGGAAAGCAACGAATATAAATAGAAATATAAGAGGAAAAAAGAAAATACAACACATTGATTTTTCAATTGAGTATATCAGATTCAATTTTAGTGAGGTTCAGTTTTGTGTATAAATCATTGATTACATATCCACAAACAGAAATCAGTGTTGAAATTTCGTCGTGTAACTATATAGTACAAATTTAGAAACTATCTCCAAAAATTAAAAATTTGATTGGCGTGTAATGTTATACCCGAACATTCCAAACATTGAATTTTCTACATTGTTCAGAATAATATATTGTAGCCTATATTATGGGTGAAATTATTATGACCGAGAATCGATATTTAATGGGGCTGTGCATGCGTTATCTTTCCGCACAGCCCCATTAAATACGTATATGCACTATAGATAATTCAAGTAATAATAAACAAATAACGTTTCTAACTATCATTTATCTTTAATAAAATGAATAAAGGTGTAAAGCCGAATAATTTTTGGTCCTTGTATAGCATGTGGTAATCAAGATATATATTATATTATTGTGTTAAATATATCAATATAATTGGGTTTTGCGAAAAATAAGCCGTGAAATCAATCCTCTTGCCAATCTAATCAGTCCTGACGAAAGAAAAAAAATTTCTAGAAGAAATTTTCTTTGAATTTAGACAAGTAATGAAAATAAACGAATTATTATTTCAAAATAAAAAATTTAATAATAACCAATGATCAGACTTTTTATCTATGCTGCCCAATTCTAATTGACAAAAAGGCACGTAATAATTTTTTTTGAAGTAAAGCAATATCGCTATTAAGGATTAACCGTGTCACATGAAAAGAAAAACAGTAATCCGTTGGTCCAAACGACCTAATTTATTATATAAAGGAAAGTATTTGTTATTTAAATAGGATTATTTTATTTCTTATTTGTAATTAATTGAAAATTTGTAACAGCAATAATCAATAATCAATAAATATAACATTATATTATATGACATCGCTAAAATAAAATAAAAATATAAAAATAAAAATGTTTATTATTTAAATCATTAGAGTTAAATTGTTATATTTTAATTGATTGTATGGATGTTTACAGAAAAGGCCTGACAGGATATTTGGCAGATATAAAGTTCGAAAATATAAGTCTCATAGGTGAATGAATACTTGAATCTGTATTTAATGAATTAGATAATACGGATAAATGGATTTATGTTTTTTTTATTTCATTTTAATAAAAGTTATCTGATAATGTTTTTTTTTTTGGGTGGTGAATTTGAAATATGCATTTTTGGTTAAAAGTTATTTCTCAACACAATGATGACTTTTCACATTCCTTTTCATTCGTGTCCAAAAAATAGACGCTGGACAAAATATAGAGTATTATTTGGAAAGATAATAATGATACGGAGGAAGGTCAAAAAAATGAAAATCACAACAGCTGATCAATAATTACAAGTAGGCAATTTCTGTAGTTGGAAATGCAGAAAATAAGTAGTGATATGTAGGGAACATCTATTGAGTCAACTCCATCCTACGAGCTTGTCTGATGTTAATCTTCATGGGATCATGGGATAAAAGTCAGACAAGGAATTAAAGCATGCTAGTTAATGATATTGCTAATTCCCAAATGTTATTATGAAACGGGCAATGAAAATAAAACACTGAAATTAGTCACATGATTTACCTATTTTTTACTGCGGATTAAAAAATTTTGTGTTTGTTCGAATCATTAATTTTATTTGAATTAAAAAAATTTATTTAAATAAACTTTCAATGTAATTTGAATACTCAAATTCATAATGAATAAAACAAATAATTTGAATAAACCTTAATGATAACAACAACAATAAACTTAGTAATAATAATAATAATAATAATAATTGTTACAGCAACAATAATAATGAGGATGGTCGATTAAGAAGGAAACGCATACTCAAAGAACTTGATTATTTTCAAATACCATATTCTCCATCAACAGGGAGACCAGTTTTCCGATGCTATATATAGTATTAGCAGAAATTCATTATGACATTGATCGAGTACATTGCTATTATTCGAAATATTTTTTTTATGGAAGCATTGCTAAATTTCGAAGGTTAAATGTATATATTTAAAAAACAATGGTTATAACAGTTATAACATGACGAGTCACTTTAAAAATGAGATAAAAATTTTTTAGAAAAGGATGAAGAGGAATTATTCAGTTTTTTACAAAGAATAACACACCGGTAAAACATTTATACAGTTTATCAAAAATTTTGACTAAAATTCTACATTTAATAACCCAAGTGAATTAGATTTTTTTTTTACCAGCAACCAAAATTACAGTCTGATGAGTTATGTATGAAAATAAATAAATTAATTTAGTATGGAAATTTTGAAGGAATTTTGGAGAAAATAAATTAGCGTTAATACAGCTCATTTGTAAAAGATATCTATGTAGACGATGGAGGAGAATTTTTGGATCAAAAATTGATGGTTATGAATACTTTTGAATCTGATTATGTGCATACTACTTTCTTTGCAGTCAAGAAGTATAGATCACATAAAAGGGTTCCAGAATCAGTGTAGATATTTTAAATTTTATTGATTTCCTTTAAGTACAAATAGAAATTTCTTAACATTATATCGTTTGTCTTTATTTATAAATAATTCACCATATTAAATGTAGTTTTATTCAATTATTTGATGTAATAAAAACTTTTTTCATGATACTTTTACTATGTGAGTGTTCCAATTTTTTTAATAAATAAAAAGAATACGTAAACAAAGCTGAAACAACTTTTATTAAATAAAAAGTTGCTATTAATTTAATTAGGATTATACAATCAATAATAAATAATGCAACATCGCTATTTTTCCTCTACCTCTATTTTATTAATTCGAAAAATCATCTCCCAACGGATTTCCTGTTTTGCAATTAGCAACAGGTTCTATACATAATAATAATAAATAAATATAAATAGTATAACCGATAAATTCTAAAAAAAAAAATAGTAAAATAAAATAATGAATTAAAGATTGTTAAAGAAATTTCCACGTTAAGATCCCAAGGTAATAATACACTAACTGAATCTACTAATAATAAAAACAAGATTATGATTATATTATAAATATTTAAAAAAATAAAATTCATTGAAGTTTCACCTAGTTTTAAGTAGCTCTAAACATGTTGGTCAATAAATATCTAAAAGTATTGAATTCCGATTCAGTAAAAGTTTTAGGTAGTAAAAATGTCAAAGTTTTTGATTCATCCTGTTGCAAATAATTATTACTACTATTTTCTTTTAATTGTTTTGGAATCCTGGAATTATTTATCATGAAACCTTTTGTGCATTTCAGTACTGATTCGCATCTTTTATACAATAAATTTTCATGTTCTTGAATTAAAGTAGAATCAGAAAAAACATGGGTATTTGATGGTAATAAAAAAAATGGTATATTTATAGAGTTGATGTCAAATCGATCAACTGTTCGTAGAATGTTTCTTAATCCAGAAATTGCTGGAGATCTAGGTGTCAATTCTGATTTTTGGATGGCTAATATTTGAAAAAATCAAAATCAATGATTAACAATTATTTATGATGATGATGATGATTTGGAATTTTTTAATATAATTATATGATACTTACATTCAAATTCTATAACTAAATGAAACACTACATGAATCAAAGGTAAATTTGAATGTCTTGTGATAAAAAAATCACCTAAAAAAAATTTTAATAATTTTAATAATTATATATTATTAATTACAAAGAATAGAAAGTTTTGTTTTTCGAAATACCTTCTTTTAAAGATGGCTCTTCAGTATCAATAGGATAAACTTTTTGAATAATATCAAGTTGCGTTTCAACATCATTAAAATGGAATTCTGTTGATTCTTTACATTTTTTAAAAAATTCTATATAATTTTTTCGAAAAAAATAACTTTTAAGATATCTAATAAAAAAAACCATAAAATTACATAACTAATTGATAAGCAGTGATAATAAGTTACCTTTGTTAGCACTTTTGCCAATTTTATATTTAGCCCAATCTTTTGGAGTTAATAATAAAATTAGAGCATTTAAATTTTGTGAATACAAATTTGCTGCAGTTTGTGCTCTGTATGCCATTTCTTTAGCTGAATCATTTGAGGAACTAATAACATCTTCTATATCTGATACTAATAGCCTCAAATTATTTGTGGATTTAACCTGATTTCCTATTGTGATTGTAAATGATTCTACTAAATGTGAATTGTCTAATTGCATATTATGTCCATGGCTAATGTAAAAAGGAAAGTAAAAATTTTTTTTTTTAAGTATCTAATCATAATTGACTGCGAAAATAAAAAATAGGTTTTTTTTCTTAAATACCCATTGGCTTCTTCAAGTCTAAAATTTTCCATTGCTTTATTTATCCATAACCCAATTTTCCTACCCGTAGAATTTGTAGGAGAACTTAACATTGAATTTTGTTTTTGTTGGAAAAAGAATTGTGACCAATTTTTTTTTGTATCTTGTTTTGTCAGTATGGATAATGGTCTATTAATGGTTTTTGATCTTTTTGGTTGGGGTGGCAAGTCTTTTTGGGAGGATGAAGAAGATAAGTTTGACAATGATGAGTTGAATATTGGTAATGATGGTCTTCTTGGAGTTGTTGGCAGGCCATTGGATATAGAACCACCACTATTAACACTACCACCAGATGATATAACTTCATTAACTCTTGCAATATCATCCATTAAAATGACTACTGCATTGTCCTAAAAAAGATTTATTGATTATTATATATATTTATATAAAATAAAGGAATAAATAAATAAATTTTAAACATAAACCATATTTCCATTTGCAATTTCAAGAGCGATCTTTGCTTGTTCATTAGTGTAACTCATTTGAAATTCTTGTATATGATTTATTAAATTTATTAATTCAGGATCATCATTCTATGAAATAATGAAAAAATGTATATTATCTAGTTAGTGTACATGATCTTTTCAATATTTTCAAAAATGCATTCATTCATTACATGATAAATCATTGGTTTTTTTTCTTCAGTATTAAAGCCACTTATAGCAGAAAATTTAGGTGAAGGTGGAGACATCAAAGTAGGTGATGAGCAAAACAAATCAGACATAGACCCAATACTATTCTGTCTACTACCATGTAAGGTGTTGAAATTACATTCTTTATCTAACTTCAATAATTCATTTGAAATTTTGGTGTTCAGCATATCATTATTTTTTTTAATTTTATCAATGGCCTTTGAGATGATTTCTCTTCCATCTAATTTATGTAATGATGTTAAATCAGCAAATGAACCATTTGTATTTGTTTGATTTGTGTGTTCTGATATTGATTTTTGATGTGTTTCATAAAGTTGTAACACAAATTCATGGTATTCTTCTTTTTGAAATTTTTTTAATTCTTCTAGTCTACTCTCTCTTATTCCTTGAGCTGTTTCAATTTGCTAAAAAAAAATTCTTGTTAAAGCAAAATAATAAATAATAAAATTAATAATAAATTAATAATAACCTCTTTATGATTTAAAAAATTTGATTCATTGGATTCTAATTCTGAATTTTTTTCAAGATTTTGATTATACCTTTATTATTTTATTTTTTAATCAATGTTAATAAAATTTTATAATAAATAATTTTTAAATTTTTCATTTAATAAATTTAATAACATTTTTATAAATTAAATTTTTATATCCAATAATAAATCAGTTTATTATTATCATCAAACATTTACCTAACTAAAATATTTTCATGTTCTTTTTCATACGAATCATTAAGTTCTTTAACAGTTTGTTTATAA